CCCATTCAAGGACATCCAACATTTTTTGGACACCCTGTATAATTGCAAATAGAATTATCAAGAATACATCTGCAACTACATGTGAAAGAATTGATTGCTTTTGGTAAATTCCTTGTCGAGCTACACCAGAGCATAGCAATTTCGCACCAACAATGGTTTTATAAACAATAAAAGTGTCCAAAAATTTTTGCAAATAAGAACATCACGAATTCATCTATCATGAAATGCGAAAGATTCCATCGCGCTCGGTAATTTCCTCACCGAGTTAAATCATATAATAGGAATTTTGCGATAACAATAGTTATAAACAATACAGAAATTCATAAATTTTTGCATCTGTGATCATTGCGTAAACCTCTCAGGCGGCAAAATGTAAGGGGTTTCATCAATTTCATCGGTTTCAGGCCAAACATACGTGAAATAGTACGCTTTTTGCGATAAAAAGTGATATAAAGTGGTAAAAAATAAGACAAGGACAAATGTTTTGCTATGGGACCAAATGGCAAATGCTCTTCCAGATGCAAGGAGTTTGAATCCGATTGGTCCATCCGTCTCGGAGTAAGAAACAAGACAAAATGTTTCTGTTTAAAAAAAAGAAAACAGGTAAAAAATGACAAATCACAAAATGTTTCTTTTACGCGACCAACTGGAAGAAATATTCGACAAAATACAAGAGGTTTCACTCCGATTCATCAAGCCATCTCGATGTAATCGGCAAGCAGACCTAAAAATCACGGTTTTTTGGTAAAAATACGGGTAAAAAATGACAAATTGCAAAAGTTTTGACAGCAGGACCACCGGGGGAACATGGTCTACAAGATGCAACAGGATTCATTACGATTGGTCAAGCCATCTCGGCGTAATCGGTGAACAGACATTAAAAAAAAAAAAAAATATATATATACATATCGAATTGAGTAGCCTCCTCCTTTTCGAAGTCGGTTATAAACAAAAGTAATCAAGGAACCGGCAGTTAGCACAGGACCCTCTAACCGTGCGTCCAAGTAAATAATTACAGGGTGAGGGACTGCCTCTGATGAATATAACTTGAACTACTATTTTCTTTATCGTCTTCTTTCAGTTTTTCTTTATAAAAAACATATATGTTAGTTCAATTTTTTTGTTTGTTTGTTAAAAGGAAGAAATATATACATACATACGCTTTGTTACGCTTTGCTAGAGTGAACCTATTAATCCCCTTACAGTGTATTGTAGGCTGTCGATGTAGCATCGACAGTTGTCGACAATCTGTATGCTTCCTTGAGAGTCTGAACCGTGACGAATCGCCTAACGCAAATGAGCTCAGGTCTGCGGACAGTGGTAGAGAGACCTCGGTGTACCCGCAAGATTACACTTTCTATCCTTGTAGCAAACAATGGGTCCGAATGAAGAGATGAGAGACAGTGGTAGACTAATAGTGGGATCTTTCTGTCAATTGTTCTGGCCGGCCAATTGATTTGACGTTTAGAAATCACTTCAAGGAGTCGACCAAGCAGTGAAGACATCATTTTACTCCAACAGAGTAGGCGAATATCGTCAAAACAAATGCTTCTTTACGAATTAATCCAAGTAAATGAACGCGAGTCCTGACTTGAAATTTATAAAAATTATAAAATAACAACATTCTGGTTTCCTCGTTCATCATCATTGGAACCAACCCTAATTAACCTCACTAATATTAATCGAACCTCAATTTATCAAACGAACAACTCAATGGGATTTATCAACCAATCCATCGCGATTTTTTCATCGCCGCTCGTCACGGCCCAGCGACTTTCGCACCGCCCAAACAAATCTTTCCAACCCTAAAGAATTCGCCCTAGAACCCATAAATCAATCGATCTTACGCGTGAGTTACCGACATCCTGAAACCGTATATAAATTACCAGCTTGCGATGGATTAAGGACAAGCTGAAAGAGTTAAATTTAAAGGAGTAGGATAGCAAACATGCGGGCAGCACGAGTTAGGGTAATCGCGTCAGGAGCAATAAAAGTTAAGTCAAACTTGAGTATCGATCACGAAGTGCTCGTAATTCCTCTTTACCAATTAATGTGCAGCATAATATATTAATTAATTGGGTAGTTTATGGAGTGGTCAACCTCTTATATCGTACAGTATTCCTAATAAGAGTGTTTATAATTATAATAAAATGTTTTATTATAGTATAATGTTGTAATATACAAGGTATTCCAGAATTAGTGTAAGAACCGGAAATGGAGGGTAGCTGAAACGATTCTGAACCATAATTTCCTTTACGAATATGTTGTATGAGGCTTCGTTTTTGAATTATTATCGAAAAACTATCGACCAATCAGTGCCTGAGTAGCGCGCACTCAGTCGCGAGAGGCTGGCCCGAGTGAGGACCTTAAGGTCAGCTATCGGAGGCCAGCCATTAGGCCAGCCTCTCGCGATTAAGCTCGCGCTACTCGGACGCTGTGATTGGTCGATAGGTTTTCGTTAATAATTCAAAAACAAAGTCTCGTACAACATTTTCGCAAAGGAAATTTCTATTCAGAATCGTCTCAGCTGGCTCCCAACAGTAACAATAATTTATTATAATTAGACTTACTAACAATAAATGTACTAATAATATATTTATATATAACAATATTATAATTATAATATAATATAATATTCCAACGAATTATTTTACAGAAACCATTCATACATCAATGGAATGAAATACACTTTTCATAATAATTTGGGCAGTAATTGTTAGTAAGTCTATCTGAAAAATAATTGGAAAATGTAAAGGGGTTGCTGCACTACTCTTGTTAGAGACGACAAGGGTTAACTGGACGGCAATCGTGTATTGCTCCATTGCGATGGGCGTACGACACGTCATACCATAAATCCATTACGTCCATGGAACCTATTACTCTTGATATCTACACCAGAGTCATCTTCATTACTGTTTTTGTTTACTCAGCAAGAGTGAGCCGTCGGTCGTCTCGCACTAAGAGTGCCCGCGAGCGACAGCTTACCAACGCACGTAGGATCGAATTTCATCCACTACTGAAAATTGAATTTTGTATACTTTTCATTAGACCTTAAAGACAGTATTACCAATAGAAGGACGAGTTTTCGTCCCTGGAACTATGTAGTTTTATTCGGGTCCCGATCCAATCACATTTGAAAAATTTTCAATCGCGTGTGATTAAAAACAGTTCTACAGTGGAGTCGTAATGGAAATTAGTTTCACTGACAAATCTCGACATTTCGTTGGAAATGTAACTGTGCAAAACTCGTAGGCCACTTATGGAAATTTACATCTTTTACATTTCTTTGTTAAGGAGAGAGTATAAATTTTGATTTATTTTATGTATTTCATTCCGCCAAAATTATTGTACAATCTATTACTCAAAATTAGTATTCCTTTGATCTCTGTGAAAGTGTCAACTTTCACAATAATATTTTAATCAGAACTTCCAATTGGCCAAGTCATAACATTTAATGTTTAAGTTTTCTTTAAATCTATTAAATAATTCTGTACAATTTTACTATATGTATATGAGGCATTTCGCGTCAAATCAGACGGTTTAAAAAATTTTTTGTTGATTTTCTTAACATTTTGATATTTTTTAGTACTCCTCATAAGAGGTTTTCTAGTCAATTTTGAGATTTTTTTGATCATTGGTTCAAAAACTATCTAACAATTGTTTTCTTCCAAAATTTCCGTTTTTCGATGGCAAACAATTTTTAAAAGAACATGAAACTAAATAAAGAAGGTTTGTTATAATTTCTCATAGATAGAATTAATTTTTACTTACTGCTTTTAAATCTCTACTCAGAACAAAAAATATCGAAACCAATTTGTAATAAATTCGTTACTGATAATAATTTGTAGCGAAAAAAAATTTTTTTAATTTTTAAAAATCGAAAAAAAATAGTAATTATAGAAAGTTCACTACCGGACCGGGCTTAAAAATTACAGGATGAATAGAAGTTTAAAATAAAAAAGCTTCAAGAAAATCAAAGGATAGTTCACAGTTTTAAAAACACGATTAAATACTTAAAATTCAAAAATCATGATTAAAAACACTTGTAATATTTTTTTTTGTACTTCCTTCTGTAAAAGGCATCTAAAAACGAAAATTTTGAAAAAAAAATTAATGATTTTTTACCATTATTAAGAAAATTATAGGAATAAAACCAAAAAAAGAGCAATTTTTTCAAATTCGATATTTTTTGAACCAGTGACCAAAAAAATCTCAAAATTTAGCAGAAAGACTCTTTTGAAGGGTACTAAAAAATACCAAAAAATTAGGAAAATAAAAAAAATTTTTTAAATAAAAGCTTTATATTATTAAGTTTATATTAAGTTTATATTAAGTATATATTAATAAGTTTTTTAAACTGTCCGATTTGGCGTAGAAAGCCCCATATGTACTTTTCTAGTATATATAAAACCTAGTAACACATATACATCATATTTATTTTATTGACATAGATTTACTGAAGTGTAATGCAAACTTAAAATGGTAGCCCACTTTTGCACAGTACTACATAATAAAACTTCAACTGTTATTTATGGCTGACTCAATTGTGAATGAAATAATTAATTCTTGCAACTAAATCTATAGTCAGCAAGGGAATATTAAGGAGTGGTTCATTATTACAAGTCTAACAAAAATAATTCTAATCTTTAATAATTCTAGTCAAAAAGAATACCTCTAGGTTGGAACTGAACTATCGACACCCTGGCAGTCGAAAGCTCTACTGCCTTGGCACCCTGCACGCACCATGGTTAAGGTTGTAAAACAGCGATTCGCCGAACCTTGGCCTTCCACGTAACTTCATTTACGACAACGTTTCCTAAACTTTCTGGTCCCTGGAACCCTTTATACCCCCCAACTTATGAGCTGCCCCAAAACAGATTTCATTCAAGTACCTTCCCTACTTATCCCTGTTTACCGAATTGGAACCTAGAACTTTGCCAAACTTTGCCAAACTTTTTGGATATTTATTCGCTAATTCGTTCAATTTTATTCATAAAGAAGTTTTGGAAGTATATAATAACAATCGGCATTGTTTTATATTTTAACTAGATTTTGCGATGATTGTTTCTAATAATTTCTGAAAGGTTTACGTAATACATGAATTTTTCTAATTAGTATCTAATCAAGACTCTAGCTTGGGTCATGTTTTATCAACACACTCTTCTCCGCTACACGCAGAAGTTCCTGCCTTACCGTCACCCCCACCCCGTCACCGCAGCTCCCGCACTTGCCTAAGTATCTGAATTTGCATAATCTGGATCAGGAATTTAATTGGCCACAGGCTTTATCAACAGCGTGTTCTACATTATCGTCGGACCAACAACAGAGTGGTCGTTATCGACAGGCTACAGTTCACTACCGACAGAGTATCCTACATTACTAACAAGCAATCTACATTATCGATAGAATGCTCTAGGTTTCTGACAGAGAACTCTACAGTAACGATTCGTAAACACAAGAAGAGAAACTAAAAACTATATTCAAGGGTTGAATTTTGAAATTCCATTATCTCCAGAACGAGACATTGTACAGCAAACTTTTATTCTGCATTTTCAATGTCCACACTCATTGACTTTTGCGATTCAAGTCCTTCACTACTTAAACTGGCAGGGGATTCTTAAAACGGCATATATTTTTAACCGACTTCGAAAAGGAGGAGGTTACTCGATTCGACATGTATATTTTTTTTCGTTTTTTCTTTTATATTTCCATTTAAGTATGAAAAATAATACTCGCTTGGCCTAATTTATTAAAGA